CATTTAATTTATTAATCTATCAGGTGATTATAGTTGAAGTCATCTTTGAAATATTTTGAAACATCAAACATGACTAATTTATTTAGTTTTTTCATTAAAAATAGAAGAAATTGAGTGTTTAAATAAGAGAAAAGTGTCTTGTACCAAATTGTAACGAATAAACATTAGAAATCAAATTGAAACAAGTTTTAAACTTCAGAGATTAATTCTATTATTTGCCCTTTAATAAAGATGAAATCAAAAGCTGAAAATAAATGTTTTTGAGATATAAGGAGGTAAATAATATTTTTAAAGAGTATATTTATTAATTATATATTTCATAATTAATAAATTAGATATTTTTGAAGTAAAAATGTATTATTAATTCATTATCAATTGTTACGTATTTATTATAAATTATTAAACTAATATTCATTTTGAAGTGAAGTAATAAAAGTTGAAACTTAATATTTATATTGAATGAAATAAACAAATATACATGTTAAAATAATTTAAATTATTAGAATAATATTATGAGAATAATAGTCTTTAAATATTATAATAATTAATTTCTTATTTATTATATAAATTTTACAATTTCAACATTTATTATTAATTTTAAAATTAATTAATTAAATACAATACAAAATTTCATAACATAGCAAGTTTTACTAAAAACTATATTGTTTTTCACCTTGAACTTGCTTTAACTGAAAGATATTTTAAAGTACTTTTACAAGGTCATAGCACAAGCGCCAACTGCAGAAAATGAACCCTTAGTTCCTAAACTATTAGCATGTTTCAATTTGGTTCTTAAACTTGCTTCAATCTATATGTTTTATAGAACCATAAATTTTTGAAAAAAAATTCATTCTATTATACTTTATTTTCTATTTAGTGTAAGTTATACTGGTTATTAACCTTAACAAACTTAATAAGAGTAATTAATTTATTAGTCATGCTTTGGTTGGTACTTAGACTTAAAAATTTGTTTCGACCCACAATGTTTTACACATCTGTAGAATTTTGTCAAAAATTCTCTGTGTTATATTGATTTTCTAATGAATGAAACTTATACAACTGAAAGTCAACCTTAATAACTTAATAAGAGTACTTTATTTTATTTAAATCATGAAGATGACTATAACCTTTATTAGTGAAGAAGAGGTCTGAAATAACTATCGCTTTTTAGTCTGAACATGTTAAATATTTCTTAAATGATTTTGTTTTGTCACCTAAGCAAGGCATAAAAAGTTTTTTTGCTATTTCTATATTAAAAGAGTTTTATCAAAAAATCACATTTTTTTGACAATTTTATAAAATTCGAAACTCAGTTGCTACATAGAGCGTAGCTTAAGAACTAAATCAATAATTTATCTTATTGTTACAATGTTATCATGATCATGTTTCAAATCATCATGTTTTACATCTTTAATAAATATAGATGACCCTCTCTGCATAAAAGAATTCAAATCACGCCTGAGCTCTTTTGCATAAAAATGTTCAATTCCGATATGAAATGAAGGAAGCTATTTCAACCTAACTGGGTCAAGAAGGTGGACTTGAATAGTGTTTTACTGATATCTCTATTACATTCATTCAGAAAGAACCATTAATTTCAATGTAGAAGTCTAAAGGTCTTCTGCATCTTCCCCACAAAATTAAAGTTTCTGCACATCCAGAAATTTTCTGGATCAGGGAATGGGTTAAGCATTGAAAAAAAAATCATATCTGCTGTTTGAAGTTTTAATGCTGGAATATATAAACAAATATCACTGGTAAGCACAGATCAATTGTTAGCATCTATGGACGATTGTGGGCAATCTAAAGTATCAATAAAAGATATGTGATTGAGCATTTGATCTTGTGTGCCAGTAATCAAAGTTGACATCAGAGATTTCCCTTTCAGGTAGCGCAAAAACTTGGTTCAGCTGCTGATAAACAGAAACAAGGAGCCACGGGAATGGATAGAGATAGCGTTCGTGCTTCCATTCTGGATGAGGCTGCAATTGTATGTAAATTTAGCTTTTTATTTGATCTGAAGTTCAACAGACTTGAATTTGAACTCTAAGTTATCTACATTGGCAGGTCTTCTCTACCCTCAGCTTTAGTGGGTCAGCACTTCTAACAAAATTAAATCGCGGTTTTGATGTTGTCATAATAGATGAAGCTGCACAAGCTGTAAGTATCTTTCTATATTCTTTTTGTGCCTACAACCGTTGTTAAAAGTGTGGGTCAGGGCTTGAATACGGAGTGGTAATTAATTTTCTAAAGTTTGTAGCAGATGTATATATTCGGTGGTCAATCTTAGAAAAGGGTGCACAAAAAGTAACTCTGTTCATGAGAAAAAAACCAAGGAGTTTAGTTGACAGGGCATTAAGGACATCCTGAAATATTTTTATCCAGCAAAAGACTGCAGAAGATAATGCTTCTATTTATAAGATCAACCTTCATGATGTGCTTTTAACCCTTCATTGTATCATGTCATTTATAGAAATGAGTAGCTTGTTAATTAAACCCACCTTGTTTTGGGTAATAGCAACTAAAGGATTTATAGCCATTATTTGACACATCTGCTAGAGTATTTGGTTCATTGGATGGAATAAAGGTGGAAGGAATAAGTATTGTAAAGAAAATGAGGAGTCACACCCCTCAAGTTATGAATCCCAATTACAAGAATAAAGGAATTGTAATTCCATTAAATTGCTACTTTGTCAACTGAACAACTTCATGGTTATTACTAGTATACACACTTTTAGATTCAGGCTTATTCGCCCTTGCTTCGTGAACCAAACAAGTAGGAAATATAGTGCTATTATTCCCATAGTATGAGGAAAATATTCACTCTAGCTAACAACTTCATAGGATGGTTGATGCAGTATAAAAAGA